AATAAACGCTAATGTCACTTTTATACACATCATAATTAACTTTCAAGTTGTAGCTGCAAAACAAAGCTAATAAAGTGAATATATTACTCATTTGATGGCTTCTACACAACCAACCACTCTTGCTGAATAACATAAACATCAAAAGTGTTTTTTCAACAACTAAACAACCTGTACTCAGCTAATCAACTGTGTTAGCGTTACTTTGGACGCATTTTTACAGTCAGCTAGGTTTATTTTTAAACGTGTGCAGTTTTACAGCTTTTACTCTGCTCCTTTACAAAGGTGAAGTAACTAGTCGAGAAAAGTGAATCATGTGCACTATTATAAAGCCTCTACTCAACGATTTTGTTGTAGAAGGACATGTTGATTTTTTTGCATTAGTTCAAAGTGTTGGTGATTGCCAATGCGGTCGTCTCGAGTTCGATTCCAGATTTCCGGTGCAGGGAAAATAATTTGGTGGTGTTGCTTGTAACTAATTTAGTTCAATTTGATTTACAGCAAAATATAAACTCAATAAATTCCTTCATTGAAAAATATCGTAGACAATATTTAATCCTGCTTCAAGACAAAGCTGTGTAGTGATTATTGGATAACCGGGAAAAGGTTGAATAAGCGCCTTTCAAGTCCACACACAACTAAACAGCAGGATAACAGCTGTATATAAGCGTTAATGGATATGCAATAAGAGCTTCTCCTGACCGTTCCAACAGCCATAAGTAGCTGACTAAGTTCGCCAGATTTGCTTGTATAGAGATTGAATAAAGGTTTCCTCATATCGTATAACATTTGAATACAGCTTGAGGCTGAAATTAGCAGTAGTTTGTAACTGTTTAGCATCTAGGTAAAAATTGATGAAATTTTGTCTGAAACTAGCTAAGAGTGTAATGTTTACGCTGGCAGAATTTAATCACAATCTGTCAAATTATTACCAAGATGGCATTGGAGCAAGAGCATATGCGTCAAAAAATCGTGCGCACCCTTGTGAAAAATCCGACTGCGTCCCACAGATGGATCGGGAATCACCTGTTATCACTCGACGATTTCCCGGGTGGGGAAGCCATTTAAAGGATGGACGACCCAGTGGCGAGTAGGCTGCGGCAGAAAACCGAAGACAGCTGACCCGGTGAAGGTTAGGAATGTGGTGAAGTAGGCGGATGTTTCCATCCCGGTTTGTCCAAGAAACGATGAAACGTGCCGGCATCCACGTCTACAAGGTCCGGAAGGCAGCGAACCGGGGAACGGTAAACAAAACAAAGTGGCCAAAGTCACTGACGAAACTGAGGTGCGTCGTGATGGACGACGAGACTTACATCAAGGCGGACATAACGCAGTTGCCGGGATAGGAGTATTTCGTTGCCATATCACGGTTGGCCGTTCCTGAGGAGGTAAGGAAGCAGAAGGTTGACTAATTCGTCAAAAAGTTTTTGGTTTGGCAGGCCATTTGTAGGTGACGGCGGCTACTATCAACGGGCAAACCTCCTACCCTTTCTGCGGTATGACGGAGGCGAGATGCTGTTTTGGCAAAAGACTTCAACCCACAGAACTCGCCGAAACTTCCCCCGATTGAGAAGTTATGGACTTATGGGCCATCATGAAGGCCAGACTTCGTAAAACACCTAAGGTGTTGGAGAACGATCTGGCTTTGAAGAAACAGTCGGTAAAAGTATCCAAAGAAGTCGGCCCCAGAACCGCCTAAAATCTTATCAGTGATGTAAAGGGCAAGGTGTGGGCATTCGGTTATGGAGCTGAGATCCAATAGAGCAATAACCTAATAGAAACCTAACCATAGCTTTGTAGTTTATCCCCTGAAAGTTCCCTGAAGTTTGTCTTTAAGGTAATGGTGTTAAATGGAGATTTTTTAATCTATTCTACCGTTTTCAAAACCTTTATTAGAGATTTACAGGTGATTTTGATGATTTTGCAGATTTTGGGCACCTTTTAGTATTATAATAACACGGACGCTACACAAATACTGCTGCAGAACAAGCTGTCAAAATATTGTTTACGTTTGCATTCGTGATTAATCGTTATATGCGTGATGGGATACCTGGGTCAGAGATGTAGTGAGGGGGTGGCGATAAAAGTCTCCACCAAGGGCGACAAGGTAAAGGAGCAAATTCAAAGAGGTTTTGCTAGAAACTTTCCCACGACACTAATTTCGTTGACATTTAATCAATGGACGTAATTCAAAGTGCATTCTGGCGTGAGCGCCTGAGGAATTATGGAAAGTATTCTTGAGGACTTCTGTTAAGAATTTCAATGTAATTCTGAAGAGTATTCAATGAGCTTGCGAGGAGAGCTTCAGGCGATTTCTTTGGAGAATTCCAAGGGTTTTATGAATAATGAGGTGAATTATATTAAGATTGTCACGAAAAGCATAGGAAATTCTTTGAAAGATTTAAAAGGAACCCTGGAGACAATTTAAATAACAATTCCTAGCAATTTCTGGGCACAATTTCAAGAACATTCTGAAAAGAGCTCCGAAGAACTCCTGGCATTATTTCCAAGAAAATTGCGATAGACAATTTCAATAGAAACTTACCGATCGCTAGAGCCTCTGGTGGTGAATAGAGGAACCCTCAAAAGAGGGTGGAATTTTTCAACGTGAAGCTTACACACTTAGATTTTTTGCCAAGATGGGCACCACCGAGCAGCTCGGCATTTTATGTTGCTGGATTTCAATAAAAAATTTGCCGAAATTTAGCTAACAAACGGAAATTTTGCCGAGATCTCAACTAACAAACATAAATGTTGCTGAATCTTGGTAAGAAAGTTGTTCATTGAGGTCCAGCAAAATAAAATGTCAAGCTGCTCAGTGGTGCACATCTCGGCAAAAAATCTAATAGCGAATTTGTTTATTATCGGGGTTGGAACCATTTTCAACCCAGTGCGAAACCGAAATTTTTATTAGTGCGAACCTCAACCTGAGGTAGGTTTTAAAAACAAATGATCAAACTGACGTTAGTCAGAAACCAAAGGAGACCCAACCTTGATATCCTATTCAGGTTGTAACTGAATAAAAAACCGAATTCGCTATAAGTGTGTAGGAAGCGGAAAATATTTTCAACTTTCTTGATTGTTGAATCCACCGCAGGTGTTTAAAATCATCCTCCACGTGGAATATTTTGTTTTCTGTATCAATTTTACAGTGATCCGAATGGTGCTTCCGTATATTTTTTAAGAGGAAAATTAAGATTTTAAAATTGTGCCAGTGGTTATTACCTCTTGGATTTTAATGTGTAGTCATTTGAGCTGTAAAGCAGTTCAGATCTGTGGGTTATTGTTAAAAAAGACCATTTCCGATAGAAATTCGTCAGATGTGCAATAAAATATACATGATTTAGAGTTCTGAAAATCGTCACTGTGATGTAAACAAACGGATTTGATGACAGTTCCTCTCAAAATCGCCTAGTCCACTCTACATTGATGAGAGCCTATAATAACCAAAAAGAAATTCTTAGTGTTAAAAAAGTTCCAATGGAACTCGAAGGAGAACTTTTTTTTATTTTCAGAACATTCTGAGGGGAGAATGATTAAGGAGAATTCTTAAATAATAAAACTAGTTATAGTAGCTGTTGATGTTGTGGTTATCTATGGAATTCTAAGGTAGTTCAGACTCACAGAATTTCACGGGGGATGCAAAGAGAATTCCATGAAATGAAGATTTGCAACGAAATTTTTAAGGTAGTTCAGATGTAGTTAATAGTTTTTTTCTTATTTTTGAATTATCTTATCAATTCGCTTAAGAGGGGAATTAGGAATTGATTGAGTCTAATAATGATTTAAGATATTTGAGCCTACCTAAATAAACGATTTGAGAAATAAATACAATACAAGATTTTACAATTCAGTGGTAGCAATAATAAGAAGTTATGAACTTTTGATTATTTGATAAGAATCCAAATTATTTTTTTTTTTCAAACCGGATTGGAATATAAATCAGTTTTCCATTAAAAATAAACAATGTACACTATGATTTAAATATTAAATCTTCGATTGAAACTATTTCAACTTTACTTGTGTTTGTATGTTTTTCCTCTTTTCAATATGTTGACTGCAACTTCAATTAAATTATCATGTCAGGACAGCATAAGCATCTTAACCCTTTGTCTGTATCATGGGTTCAATACGACTCCAGACAATTTATGCAATCTTGATTATTCATCAAAACGACATTTTTGCATGCTAAAGTTTTCTTGATATGCCTGCCTCTTAGTTGAGCCATATTTCGAATTTTATTGAGTACTCGTTTTGAAGGATTTTTGCAATGAACATTGCTTTATTTTAGAGGAACAGACAAAGGGTTAATACATAAATAAATAGTTTTATTGACATGCATATCGAATGTTATCGTAAGCTAAGTTGTAACGGTTCGAATTTCCTGTGAGTATGGACAGGAAGTTTACTCGTACAGCGAGGTGAACACAACATTCATTTTCCTTCCAGTAGACTCTTTATAAACCTCAGAGGGCCAGTGTATTAGTCTAGTATCAACAAAATGAGTTAAAATTTTGGAAGGTTCATCAGACCCTGATTTAGAATCGATTGCAATGTGTCGAGTAAACTGGATCTTTTGAATCAATATTCGGCTGCATATTATCAAATTTAATCAAATTAAAATAACATACAATCATCACGGTCGATCACCGTTTGCTAATGATCCACACTAAGTAATGAAATTTCAAAAGTGTTGTTTTGGTTCATATTATTTTTTTCCTGTCGAAAGTTATGACATCTTACGTAATTTCTGCAAATAAAGCTTTAACGATGGAAGATACTACAATTCGATTTTTTATGTAGTTGAAAATTTACAAGTAATTTCCGCAGTGAGCATTTTCCAGCCATCTTGTTAAGCTGAAAAACTGACTCCAAATATCTGAAGATCGAGCACTTTAGACCATCAGTCACACGTTCTGCACTCATTACTTTTGTACTATGGGAAACAGTTCATATCTCACAATACTTGATATGCCAGACACGAATCATTCACTATCACTTACAATTTTCATTCTGGTTGCGGTTCCTTCTATCACGTTATCACTTATCAACAAAAAAAAAATCCGTCACAGTCCTTGATTATCCTTTGAGATCAGACACTCTTATGCACTTGTTCGACAATACGAGCCCTCAGTCGCAGACTGGGCGCAGGATGACACTTGGTTACACAAATGAAGGCACAATTCGGAATGTACTCCTTCGACATAAACATTTGCTTTATATAGCATCATCAGCATCTTCCAAAGTTCTCGAAGCACTGTGGCCCGCCGCCACAGTTTATTCGTTTGTAGGATTGTTTCACTTTTTTTTCCCCTGCTCTGCACGTTTCTTACTCCAAGCGAACAACGCCAGCATCCAAACCAAAGCCGAATCGAGCAGTGCAGCCAGTGGCAACGTCATCAGCAGCACCCCCTCGCGCTGCTACTTAGTTTAACCACCTCAAATCAAATTGATATCGCGTTATTGACGGTGGTGTTGTTCACTGGGTAACCCCTTCATTCTTTCGAATCAGCTGGAACTCACACAGCATGTGCTCACCACTACACCGCACTACGTCCACCACCACCGCCACCACCATTGCCCAGGCGCCGTCACCACATTCATCGCATCCCCCTCGTTGAGCAGAAGGATGCAATGAGCCGGCACGAGTAGCGAATTTTGAACGGTAGGTCACTTAAATTCTTGACGAAGAACAGGGTTGTAAGCTGGTCGTGACCTCATGCGGAATTTGCTTCATATCGATGATAGTCAAGTCTATGTGGATGCTGTGGGATTTGACTCTGAAATGATCATGAGATACTTAAAAGATTGCATAATGACGCAAAAAGATAAATCAGCAGTTTTTCTAATTGTTATCACTGCTTTCCTTATTTTAGTTGGCTTATTTCTGAACAAAAATTCTCTTCGTATTCACAGCCCCTTTAGGTGAAAGTAACCTAGTGATTAAATATAAAGTTTAAAAAATGGTTTTCTCTGAGACATCACTTCATATTGGAAAAAAGGACTCGTCGTTCTGTGCGAAATAATAAAGAGCTTTTGAAATCTGTAGTGTTGTCTCAGAGGAAACCATTTTTGAAATTTGTATTAACTCACTAGGCCACTTTCACTTAAGTCTTTAGGAACTAAAGTAGATCCATTCATGAAAAAAATCTTTTAAAATATTTGTATGAACTTTATTATTGTGAATTAAAATACTTCAATGGAAAGTGATGCCTTCCGAAACTACAACCCTTTCCAGCAGTAAGCAGCTATCCAACCGTACGGACTCCCCCTGGACCACGAGGCACGAGACCGAATCCTCTTTGCTCGAAACAGGTGAGAGATCAATCGTATGCATCAATCGATCGGTCGCGGAGAGGGAGAGTGTTCTTCTTGTTTTTATTTTGCTAAGCTGCGAATTTGTGACAGCAAGTTCAACAATCCACCACCTTCATCGTTGAGCGATGCACAGTTGCATCGAGCTCGTCCAATAAGCCACAACAATCGACGACGACGACGGAAACAAAGCGCCGGAGAAAAAGTGCATCCAAACGATCGATCGATCGACCACCGAACGAACCGATGACAATGATGCCCATTCCTGTGATGACTCCTTTCTGCCAACGGTGGTGCCTATGCGGTGTGTAATAGGATTTGAAGTTCAAGATTGTGTGTTTCCCGGTCACCCTCTTCTATTCGGTACTAATGAATCTGCGGGAACGAAGATTCTTGACTTTTTCCTTGCACCGTAATGGGAAATCTGTGACAGCTCATTGTAATATTGGACGTTATCTGATTGGGCTCGATTTAAATTGAAACAGTTAAGACGACGACGGCGACGGGTGGATAAAGGTTGATGGTGTTTGAATATGGGAAAATAAGCTGATGCAGTTGATCATGATATCGTAAAGTCAGGCACAGTTCATTTGTTTTGATGGGATTTGACAGAAATGCAATCGAAGTTATTGATCATTCCATACTCCATGAAATGTGAAGTCCTTTCCAATATGGTTTATACCACGTTCCGACTATAGCTGATAGCTCGTTATATAGGCTGTCTTGCAACGAGCACTCATACGTTGAATTTTTCCCGAGAATCATGTCCGAACTGATCTGAGGTTTGCGCGTAACTGTTTTTGTAAACAATGACTTCAATCACCGATCTCTCGCTAATAAAAACACAATCTACTAAACCAACAACACAATCAGGTAGGAGAGTGATTCCTCTAGCAGTGGGTACAGTTTTTTTTTTCAGAATTCAAGCTTTAATTTGCGAGAAATCGGTCATTGAAGTTATTGTTTACCAAAACAGTTATGCCCGAATCTCAAATCAGTAAGGATGTATGACTTTTGATATTAAGATAGGCTTTAATACGTGATATCAGCTGTAAAATCTGCGCCTTTACCGGCCTCCCTTAGCTCAGTCGGTAAAGCCGCAGCTACAAAGTAAGACCATGCTGGAGGTGGCTGGGTTCGATTCCCGGTCCGGTCTAGGAATTTTTCGGGCTGGAAAATGTCTCGACTTCCCTGGGCATAGAAGTATGATTGGACTTGCCACACAATTATACCAATGCAAAAATGGTACCAGGCATCGAAAGCTCTCATTTAACAACTGGGGAAGTGCATCTAGAACACTAAGTTGAGAACACGCAATAAGCTAATATGCGATATGCAATAAGCTTGAAATGCGAAGAAGAAGAAGAAAGAAGAAGAAGCTGTAAAATCTTAACGAAGTATTAAGTTGATTTCCCCTTCATTTAATCTGCTAGCAAAATTAATGATTCTTCTTACTTCGATAATTTTTCTACGAATATTTATTACAACATGAAAAAATGGTTTGGAAACTGTTTTCTAAAGGTAAATTCAGCGAATTTCTGTAAAACAAACGTATTTTAAACGGCCACAAAGAATATCTTGTGCTCATGGCCATATTTAAGGTAACTGTCTGGGTAATGGCCAGGGCAGCAGTTCAGAGTTTTCTCACTTCGCGGGACTAATGTGCATTTCAACTTCCTTTATACCTTGAGATCTTGAGCATCTAGAAAGTTTCCTTCCTAGACTTCGGGAAAGTTGTTCAGCAGAACAAAGCTATAACTTCTTATGTACTTTGTACTTCTTGAATAAGCTAATCCCTAATATTCTGATACAGTGCTAGTGTGCATGGAAACTTGCTGTGTAGGATGAATCTCAAAATTCTGACATTCATGAATGTTGCTGTCTTCACCTAGATTGTTCAGGTGACCCACCCAACTAACAATTTTCGCAATGTAAACGCTTTATTCATTTAATTAATACAGCCTCAAGCTGTATTCATATGTTATACGATATGAGGAAACCTTTACTCAACCTCTTTACAAGCAAATCTGGCGAACTTAGTCAGCTACTTATGGCTGTTGGGACTGTTGGATCAAGCTCTTATTGCATTTCCATTTACGCTTCTAAACAGCTGTTATCCTGCTGTTTAGTTGTGTGTCAACTTGAAAGGCGCTTATTCAACCTTTTTCCGGTTTTCCAATAATCACTACGCAGCTTTCTGTTGAAGCCGGATTGAATATTGTTTACGCTTTTTTTGTTGGAGGAATTGATTGAATCTATTTTGCTGTGAGAATCAAATTAATCGAAATTAGTTATAAGCACACCACCAAATTATTAACCCTGCACCGGAACCTGGAATCGAACTCGAGCGTATAGGCAAACCTTGACACTACCAACTCCGATACGCCAACACTTTGAATTGACGTAAACAAATATACATGCCCTTCTACAATAAGTAGTAGAGGCTTTATAATAGTTCACATGAATCACTTTTCTCGACTAGTTACTTCAGCTTTGTAAAGGAGCAGAGTAAAAGCTGTAAAACTGCACACGTCTAAAAATAAACCTGGTTGACTGTAAAAATGCTTCCGAAGTAGCGCTAACATAGTTTATTAGCTGAGTACAGGTTTTTAGTTGTTGTTTGATGTTTATGTTATTCCGCTAGAGTGGTTGGTTGTATAGAAGCCATCAAATGAGTAATATATTCACTTTATTAGCTTTGTTTTGCAGCTACCAGTTGAAAGTTGATTAATATTTGCATAGAAGTGACATTAGTGTTTATTGGCTGCTGTTATTCAGTGTGACTGACAAATTGAATAATGGTTGTGAAAAAGTTGATTAAACGCTCTCCAAAACTATTTTGCTAAATTCTGCTTTTAGCTGTATCTGCAGCTTTTTTTCAGCTACTTCACAGCACCATGCTGGAAAAGTTGGCTTATAAAGCTGAAAATGTTAGTTGGGCAGGCCTTCCAGAAGATATATATATATAGATTAGATTATAAATCTATATATCTCATACGTTTATAGAGACGACCGCAATGTTCAATGGTCTGGAAAAAAATCGGGAGGTGGAATATTAATAGCGATTTCGACCCAATTGAATTCAGAAATCATTATGGCTACTAAATTTAACGAATTCGAACATGTATGAGTAAAAGCGCAAGTAGCAGACGAAGCACATGTCTTTGCTTCGATATACTTTCCTCCGAACAATGCTCATATGGACACGATATTTTTTTTGAAAAGCCGAAGAAATTTTGTCTGTTTACACCCTGAAATAAAAGTACATATATATGGGGACTTTAATTAACGCAATGTTGACTTTTTTTCTGATAGGGACAATAAAAGCATCTTACTTCCAGTCGTTGGGGAAAATTAAACACTCCATTTATTTTTTTATTATTTTCATTATTTTCATTATTCATCATTTCATTAAATTGCAAATTTAAGACTTAATCAAATTAAGAAAAATCAACTAAATTGTTATTTATAACTTTCATTAACAAATACTTATGAAGATTTCTGTGTGACTGAACCGTTAAGTCCCATATGAAGAAATGAAATGTTTCACACAGCAATAGAATATTCTTTATTCGTTCATATAAATGAAAGAACCAACGACGGCGAATTTGAAAATTAATTAGATAGAATATTGAAAAAGATTGAGAGAAATAGATTGAGCATTGTCGATTGGCAAACAATATTAAGAACTGCAGGAAATGTTGAATGTGCAGATGACGTATTCTACAATGTGTTGCTTGAAATAATACTTGAAGAAGTGCCAACTAATAGAAGAAGCCGTCAGCTGCCCATAATCGCAAGTCAGTCCCATCTGTAAAAAACTGGAAATTAGAAAACGGCGTTCATAGATTTTACAAGTTTTCTGATTTGAC